GATAGATAGATAGATAGATAGATAGATAGATAGATAGATAGATAGATGATTTAAGCAGGATGTGACAGTTTCCAACCATGTCCAATGATATTAAACTAGGCTGGAATACGATGGTGTTGGTGTTTTACCTTTTTTATTCAATATTAGGGTAAAAAGGACCCTGAAAAAAAATCTCCAAATGAATGTAGACAGAAGAGAGATAGAGACGGCATGTGATGAAGCGAGCTTCCAGGGTTGGGATGAGAGAAACACACCCCCACCACCACCACATCCTTACACTCACTGACACACACACACACACACTGGCTGAAACCACAAAGGCGTCTGATGACGTCTGAGACCAGAACCTGAGCGTCGGACCTGGAAACGACCGCCGATCACCGCTAGCCTTTTGCTTTGGCCCCCGGAAATAGCAAAAGAGCAAAAAGCATCCATGCCTCCAGATTCCCTCTTTCACGTCGGCCTGGTCCTCGTTCTCGTCATCGGGCCTCCGGCGCGGGTAGAATGAGAGGATGGCCGCGCGGCGCACCGCCGGAGACCGCGGAGGACCGGGAGAGGCTGCCGGGGAAGACGCCCGCGACGAGGCGCCGAATCGGGGGATGAATCCACCGGGGGACGCCGGCGGAGCGGAGGACCTCTCCCTGGAGGAGATTCTCAAGCTTTACAGCCAGCCCATCAACGAGGAGCAGGCGTGGGCCGTGTGCTACCAGTGCTGCCGGACGCTGGCCGAGGCGCACCGGGGCAGGAGGGGCTCCCCGGCCGCGGCCCCCGGAGCTCCGCCGACCGCCACCGGAGCTCCGGTGGCCGGAGCTCCGCCGCGCATCGCGGGCCCGGGGAGCGTCCGGATCCGGCGAGACGGGTCTGTGACGGTGGACCCCCAGAGCTGCCAAGGTAAAGACCTCCTTATGTAAGACCTCCAGGGGGCTGACAGATGTATACATCCTGGCTAGTTTGAAATTGCATAAGACTCGGATAAAGTAACAGCTTTAAAATAATTCACAAATAAGGCACGAAAATCTAACGGGCTTTATTCATAGCCTAACTTGTGTTTAAGGAGCAGGTTAAATTGGCTTATGCTTATGTGGGGGTGTCTTAAATGATCAGTTCACACATAGCCTTCAGCTCATGGGAAATAATATTTATTATAGGACACTTTCTCCCCCCCTAGGTATTTCATCTATAGCCTGCTTCAGAATGAAATAGTATTATAACAATAGCCAGCAGTTAAGGTCCCATTAGAAATCATCTGACCTCTCATAGCCTAAGCAAAGGAATTCCATTTCAAACTCCCCCGCTGTGCTCACCCTTGTTTCCACCGATTTATAGCCCACTGCCCAGTTTCCTCGTGTGCACAGGCATCATGTGATTTCATCTTTTATTTAGGGGCCTCTCATTCTGTTTTTGCCACCTCACATCTTATCAGGTGTTCATTCGGCTTCGTCTGATTTAAACCACGTGATAACACGCTGAAAATGTGGGCTCTGACTGGATGGAGGAGGACGGACACAGATAGATTCCTTCCCCACCCCCCAGGCAGATTCATTGGAGCTCATCTTGTGGCCCTTATTATGATGATGCTTTTGTGTGAGATCGGATTGATTGGCCGTGTTGAAATTACGCTGATAAAATATCCAATAAAGTCAGAAAGAGTGTGTCAGATAACAAATGGTTGTATACTGACTTTATATCCTCTAAGCATCCCTTTATATGTACACAAGATGTCTCTTAAGCAATCGAGCGTTTAAATACTGACATTATTGGACTTAATATTTATTTAGCTACAGCGTTTTTAACATTTGCCCCATAAAGACCTGCCGTGTATAAATAAACCAGGACTCAGATTAAAACAAAACAGATGGCATGTTGTGATGCATTATGGCGTCTCCTCCGCCTTCTGGTGGGCGTGTCTAATATGTAACCACACATTCATCTAACTTTATCCTGTCAGACTTAGACTTGGCATGTTCATCATCTCTTGTAATAACATTTTCTCACAGGGTGCAGAGCAGACTGAGTAAAAGCCCATCTGACAATCTTAGTAATGGTCTACCTGATGACCTCGGGGCCTAAGGGATGTGCTCTTAACCCATCAGCTTAGACACGCACCACAAAACACGCTGCTGAGTCAATGTTCTGGCCTGTGATTCGATAGATGCGCCACAAGCTCAGTCTAATCAACTCGTATGAACACATCTGAAAGGCCCAGCTGTGATGGTGATGATGCTGTGATCCAATATATGGTTTGAGTGAATGGGTTATTTTTAGCAGCACAGAAGTAACCATTGAAGAGAGGAAGGATGGGGGAGGGGGGGGGGCTTTGTTGTTGTTTTTATGTCAGTGCTGCATGAGTAATCTTACAGCATGCAAAAAAAAATCATAAAAAATGTCACTGAGCACCTATAGTTTAGATGTAGGAGTTTGTACACAAACACTTTTCATTTATTTGTTTATTAAAGATTGCGTGGATAAAATGCCATGCCCTGTTTTTGTTTGTCTTGTGCTGGCTCATAATCTGGGAAAGCATCACCCGGGAGATAAAGATGTTGCCATCTAGTCATTTGTTTTGATGACTCACAGTCAAGCGGAAAAAAAGAACTAAATTGTTCAGTTCTAAGATTTTACGCGTCTGAACATAAGGAATACTCATGTGCTCCTGACCAGTCGTTAAAATCAGGTCAATAAAGCTTCAGATGAACGTTTGCAATTCATATATTACACAATGTAATTAAACAGGACGCATTAGGAGTAATGACCTGAATTAGCTCTTTTCTGTACAAGATGATCAGGCTTTCACATTGTTGTTGAGAAATTATAACTAACACCATTTAATTGCGGTTTTTTGGGCAGGTTCCCACGTATTTTAACACAGATTGGGACTTTGGACTATGACTATTTTCATTCCTTATCTTTAGATTTCCTGCTTTGCTAGACCTGATTGTTAGATTGTTGTTAGCTTTTTTCAGCAAACTCCTCCAAACAAGTCTTCCTTATTCAGTGATTTTCTAATTGTCTAACCACATCTAACATGCTGGCTGATACCTGGATAGTCTGAGTTCCGATGTAACTTTTTTTTTTGGTCACACTAGTTGGTGATTATTAAGGCTTAGTTGTCAGAGTCATTCATGTGGATAGCGCTTTAAGGATTTGGACTTTGAAGCTTTAATCTGCTAAATTGGCTTCAAATTCAATCCAGATATGGCTAGTTTCAGAGATTGTTGTCAGATGATATTGTTTCCCATCTGTCAATCTTATTTTGACCAAGTCGTGTATTTGACTACATTTATTTAGGGATTGTGCCTACTTAAAATTGTACAAAATAGTTAAGAGGGCAAATTTGAATCACATCTCTCTGCAGTTTCTATGCAGTGTATACAAATATATTTTTTACTTATTCATCTGACATCTTAATGGCATTTACTGGCATTTAATGGCATCTTCTTATTCAATCTAAGGTCATGATGATGTCACAGCTGATCTTATGTTGCATTACAGTGTTCTACAGTACAAAGCAGTATTTGTTAAATGGCTCATCTGTCAGCTGCTTGTTTGGTCATGAAGTAAAAGCCTGGCCTGTGTTGCCTGCAGAAATTATTAAAGTGGGTCTACCTTTTGAAGAGAGTACATTCATGCGGAAGGGCTTCTTAGAAAGACATTTGTCAAAACAAGTCACATGTAGCTCAGACTGATAAAACGATTAGAGATGAAACAGAAATTCTGGGAGTTTGCACGATGAAAGCTGCATGACCAATAAGTAAACTATAAAACATGTTAAAGTGGAGAAAAAATATAACTAGACGAAAGTTTAGGATTAACATGGAAGTCCAAATTAAACAAAAAAATATATACATATGTGATATAATAATGGGACTTCCCCAAAAATCTACAATCACAATCCCTGAGTTTATGAAGCTTGTGATATTGAGAATGAGTTGGTCCCTTGTAGACTTGAATTCAAAACATTGATTGGGGAATCAAATGTATGTTCTCCTTTACAAGTATTGCCCTCCTATGGTAATTGTTTAAGTAGTGCATGGCCATTACTTATATATTGTGGGCCATTGAAGTTGCTATTGTTATTTTGTATTCCTTTTTCTGACCCTTTTGGCTTGTTTCTTTACAGGTAAATACAGCCCTTCCACAACCTCTGAGGTGAGTGGTTCCATTGTAATTCCTGTTGTGGTGATTGTATTCTGAACAAAAGAGAATGATATGAAATGTAAACGTTTCCGGATTTATTGGTTCTGGAACAATGTTTGCGGGGATTCCCTGATTGCCTCAAAGTTTTCATAATTTCTGGAGATGACTCAATCTGTCAAAATTGTAATGGTATTCCTGGTTGTTGAGAAATGTAATGGCTGGCCTAACCACTATTGGCACAATGTTCTTTGCCAATACCCTTCAGGTTTCAGTTAAACTAGCTAGTCACTGTAAGACAAACCAGTACAGACAACAGAGGTTGCATTCAGAACAGAGGGGGCACCCTGAAGGTTTATTTCTGAAGTACAAAAACTGTCTGTCTATCATTTCCCCGCTTGTTTAAACTAGCTCCTTCAACACATTAAACGTGTTAAATATTTTATTTCTGTCCTGTATGCACACACACACAAAAAATCCTGAGCAGCAAATCTAATACTAAACAATACCATTGTCATGCAAGGTGTTTTTTTCTATGGACATAACAGACTTGAAATGCCGACTCTTAATACCTTGAATGGAACTGCTCCTTTAGAGCTTGTTACAACCTGTCACATAGGTTCTTACAAAAAGGATGTCAAAAAGCCAAGTCAAGTAGTTTAAGCAAAAACATGGAATCAAATGAAAGTGAACCTAAATTGTTCGATGTCTGAAAGATCAGGGGTGTAGATATAGATGAGTCAGTATAGTGAGTGCATGTGAGGTACTCAGAAAGACCCAAGGAAAGAAAATAAAACCAAGCCCTGATCGAGGAAGGTTGAAAGAGAGAACTACAAATTCTGCCCTCTGCTCTCAGGTTCCAAGGCTTCAGAGATGTGCAACTAACCCCCAAAAAAATCAGACATAAACACAAGGAACTTGACATGGTAAAATTCAATTTATCATCAGCAAAAGATCATGACAAGGCCAGAAATGTCCAATTAAACATAAAAAAACAAGAAGTACAAATGAATAACATAAGCCAAAAGGACCAGCAACATGACAAATCCCACTCACAAACTGAAGGCTGTGGACCAGAGAGGCTATATGCAGAGGAAGGGTATTTTTTATTGATCAGAAGGTAAGACAATTAAAACAGGGAGAGAGAGTGGAGTAGACCTGACTAGAAAAACACTGAGAAGTCATCATGACAGGGAGTGCAGAAAAGGAAACCAAGAACACAGAAGAGCAACAGAAGCACAGAAATAAAACTACACAACATGAACCAAAAAAACAAAACGATTTATGACATTTTGCCAAAATAATTCCAATTTGACTTAAATGTATATCCCCATAATACAACAAATGTCATCTCTAAGTACATCAGAAATACATGCCAGTGTTACAGAATTACAGAAAAGTTAGCCAGCTCCTTTTCCCACCAGACTAGCAAACAACTGGAGTGCAAATTTGTGATCAAAACCGGGAGCTGCTAACCCAGGAGACAAACATAACAAAGGTGCACCAATTAGAATTAGTCTTCTATAATAACTAACTACATCCTTGTCCTACCACACGGCCAGGATGTGGCCCGTTACCTTGTACACTTTTGCCAAGTTAATAGTGAAGTTCATTGCCCTAAATCTGTTGACTGTTGACTTTTTCCAAGATCTCTGCCTGTGACGCTAGATCTATACAACTGTTTCCACAGGATGAATAGGACTCAAACAAAGAAATTGATTGTAAAAATGAATGCGCTGTCCCTTTAACGTCACGTATCTAATACATACAGCTTCCAAAATCTTTTTTTCCAACTGAAACCTTTTTCACATCACGTTATGGTAAAAACTTACCATCTCGCCCATTGAATACTGGGATAGGCTCCAGTCCCCATGCAGCCATGTTTGGGAATAAGCGATTCAGAAAATGGATGGATAGATGGTAAAAACTTAGCTCAACCATGTTGTTTACAAACTAATATTCCTTATACCATTAAGCAGAAGAATACAGTTCAATCATTTTGACGTGTTGGACAATAATAAATAGTAAAACATCTCTACCCCTTTAAAGGGTTAGAGATTTTTGCTTGACTAGGGCATTACCCACTTCAGATTCCCTGCTCCCAGCTGGCTTCTTTGATTGACTGGTTAGAAATGTCACCCGGCAAGGCCAGCCCTTTGATGAGAGCTCAGGGAGATATTTTAGACTTAATTAAAGGGGCTTAATAAAAATGACTCCTTCCCCATAGCATGCACTCTCTGTTGCTATAATCAGCTGCTTCTTACAGCGTGAAGGGGTTAAGCTGTATAAGAATGCAGAATCAAGATCAGTTACAACATTTTAGCCAGATGTTTCTAAACAAAATCAGCTTCTAGTGTTGTCTATGTTGCTCTAAAAAAGACGGAATAATCTTGCAAATTGCGTCTGACCTGAAATCTGCTGTGGTGATTTTTTTTTTTCTCGGTTGATTCGGCCAAGCGTGCAAAATTTTTCAGGCCGATTTGAATGGGCATGGCTTTAAAACAGGACTGTGAGAGCAGATGGAAATGCAGTGAATAAAACAGTCCGCCGGAGATGTAGTGAGTGTGGAACTGTATAGACAAATCCCCCGCTAAGCAGCTTTGAACCAGAAGTCGGTTCTCCCAGCACAGTTTGCGACCGAACTGCTGAAACAAACTGTTGGAAAATGTGCCGAAGGGAAAATGTGCTGAAGGGCATAACGTGTGGAATTAACCCAAAGCTGGATGAACAGGAACACATGTGGAGTCATAGCTGACACACATTATCTACACTTGGCTTGGAAGAGCATGAACTCAGATGATGCTGTCTTTTGTTTTATAGTCACAGAGCTGGGGTTTGTGATAGAGTATTTGGTTTCTTTATGTAAAAATGGTTGCAATCTGCTATGTGTAATAATGTAAATATGACAATTTTTGCTGCTATATTTGGCATTTATTGGCAATTTTGTAGACTGACCTATTTCCTTAATATAGCATACATTTTAGACATTTGTGGATTATTCATAATCACATTCCTCACTGTCTAAATTAACTATCTATGCCACCAGCTCTTTTAATGCCCTTGGCTTGAAGTCTTTAAAAGGATTAATGAAAGGGAAAAATGAGATAAAGAGAGAAACGAAAACTGAGAAAGAGCAGAAACCTCTCCTCTTTAGTTTTTATGTTATAAAGGTAGCGCGCCTTTCTGAAAAACAAAAGCAACTGGGACCAGTCATATGACAGTGGGTCGAGGGAGCAGAGTCAGGCGGAAGAATCTCAGGCAGTTTCTGCTCTCAACTAAGACATGACGCGTGTTTAATACGTAATTGCTATCAAATGTTGTAAATCTATAACAATCACATTGTTGTTCTTTTAAGATGTGGTACTTTCTTTCTTACAATATATATTTGTAGGTGTTTACAACTGTATTTCCTTTCACAGAAAGAATATCAAGTTTTTAAAAGTAAGATGTTTGTAATGGTGCATGAGAAAAATATAAGCTCATCTTGTATTTGATGTGGCATCACTACAAAGTTGAAACTGGGACAACAAAGTCCTAAAAGTTAGTGATGCTATGGGAGGAACATTTGCAATTAGTTAGATTAATTTTTTAAAGTTCAGTTAAACGACTGGTTGTTAAAGAGCACTTTAGAGAGACAGTGTCCCAGAAGGACAGATGGCAGAGTTTGAGCAATCTGTATTTTGTGCACTTTAAGAATGGTGTCTGCTGTAAAGAAAATGTTTAGTTTTTTTTTTTGCCTTAAACTCTGGTGACTCGGGTGACCCTGATAGGAATGAGACCCCTTGAAACATAATCTACCTAGATCTCTATTGGTTTAAAAAAAAAAAGAAGTCACTTGTATAGTATTGAGTCAGCAAATACTTGGATTGAACACAAAAAAGAGGACCTGTCACATATTCCTCAAGTTCCCAAAAAGAAAACATATATATTTTGGAATTTGACAGCTTGAGTAGCATTTTTACTGGTCCCCCCCGTTGGCCTCGTTCATTGTCCTCCATCAGAAATGTTGTCATTAACCAATGGTTATACTTATCCTATCCTTTATTTATGCGTTTCTGTCCAGTCATTTCAAGCAGGTAATGGTTTCATGAGGATTTTTAGGAATAACCATACTGCTCAGTCTTTTTTACCTCATTTTCCACTCTGAACAAACTTAGTTCACCCAGCTCTTGCTGTCAATTCTATATTTGAATCTGAGTATGAGCAGTTTATCCATCCGATTCAAAAGAAGACGCATTTAAAATACTTTTAATCAGAAAAAAATATATTGATAAACCATTGTGTAGAAATAGTTTAATTGGTTCTTATTGTTGAACCAATTCATCCCCATGTTGTTACCACATTGGGTAACAGCCTGGGATAGATTGTCTAAATCAATGTTTCCCAACCCGAGTCCTTAAAGACCGCTGTCTGGCGTGTTTTCCAAGTTTTCCTGCTGCAGCTTTTCAGCTCCTTAAGCTCTGCAGATGGTTGAGGTAGACCCATCGATCTGAATCAGGACCGCTGGAGCAGGGAATCTAAAGAACTATTCAAATTAAGTCATGACGTCTGTAGGACAGTATGTAATTGCCTTTCGGATAGCCAGCGTGACACATTTCCTCTTACTTCAGTATGATCCTTATTTGGACCATTCCGCTGAAGTGTTTCATCTCTGTGACAGAAATCCCAATCTGGTAGCCAAGCAGTTTGATGGTAGTTGGTTCTGCTTATCTGCAGCCTTGCCAGATCTACTTTGGTTGATACCCGATTCACACTGTTTTTGCCTTTTTCATCTGGTTTTTCATCTTACCCAGTCCACCTTTCCATCCCATCATTCCGCTTGGTTGCTTAGAAGCCTGGGAACCCACAGACACGCTTGCTCTAGCCTCACAGTCACAAGGAGCACTACTCAAATCCTACAGTTAGTTACAATCTACAGTTATTTAAACAACAACAATGGCAAACAACAGTTAGTCTCATGGTAACCTGAAGAACACAGGCTTACTCAGTAACAAACTAGCAGTTTCTCATTAATGGATTTTTATGTTGCTTTTAAACAAACATGAATACTCAAACGCACGTGAACATGAACACACATTGTAGGTCTTCTTTTGGTTAAATCAGATTCACCTTATTTGCATTAGCTTGTTGAACTGATTCTGGCTGAGAGCACGACTCGTAAGCTCAGTAAGATTTTAAAAAGTCTTGTAACGTCATTAATCTTACCGGTGAAAAAATAGAAAGCTGAAATTGTATCTCTGTCATCTGCTGTAGCTTTCCTTCTCCCAGTAAATCTCTTTTTGTTCTCTTTGAACTCTTTTCCGAATTACAACTACAAGCCTGAACGTTGAGGAGCTTATATCTTAACATCATCATATCTATCACATTGCTAACAACAAGCTCTGACTGTCCACAGAGGAGGAATTTTCATGTGATAAGCTTAAGTTAGAGAAGGTCCCTGGAGCTATGTGTCAGTATGTTTGCGTGTTCTTTTCGCCCATGTTATGTATCAGTGGGTGTGAGGCCTGACTAAAACAAAGAGGCTGCGTTCATCTTTCCACCCCCCAGAAGAGACCCAACTTGAATGCAGAGTTTTGGGGGAGAGGACTCAGTTCTTTTATCAGAATATTCATTCTACCCAGTGTGTCAATCAATCTGAATGTAATCTTTTGTCAATACACCCTTGATAATCAAGTGTGTAGTAATCTTTATTCTTATCATGTCTCAGCTTTGTCCACCTTTTCTCACCTATCTTCTGATATATTTTCCCTTTCCCTTTGGCTTCTTCACCTTTCCCTCCTTCATTACATCACTCAGTCTGGTTCCGTCTTCCTTACTTTGCCATTTTTCTCATTGGGGCATATGCTATCTCCCCCTCTCTGTCTTTTCTTAGTGCTCAGGGCTGCAGAATAATCCCCTCACTGGTTTCCCACTCTTGTCTTTTGTCTTGGCTGGCAATGCTGGCTTTATTCACCACGATTCTCCAATTCCAGGCCAGACGGCTCATAAACAAGCACACCTCCTGACCAACATGCATCAAACTTTGGACTGAAAAAAAAAACAATAGCGGTTCAGTATAACCACTATCAGTACCATTATCAGGAGTTACATCCAGTGAAGACTCACAGGATGCCTCTCAACATTGAGTGTTAGTTTTTTATTCTGACGTTAGATACGTTTTGTAGTGGTGTACAGTATGAAGACATTATGGCTCATAACATGCCACAATGTAGCTGTGCCTTTTTGCTGGGTGTATTAACTGTTTGCTAAGCCGTGAACTGGAATGCCCTGGAAGGGTGGTTAAACTGCATCTAATTTAATACAATTGTTTACTGCACTTGCTGTGTGTTAAGTATTTTTTATGGAACCATGCAAGACTGCATGCTGACAACGCGATGTCTCTGGAATGTTGTAATGAGAGTGGAGGTATAGCTGTGGCATTTGCAGTTTAACATTTCCACAGTTCACGAGAATCAATTACTATACAGAGGCATTCTAAGGCGTATGTTGCTGAACAATGCGATCAAAACATCAACAAGATTAAAACACACAATCGTGTTGTTCAACTGTGAGTTGGCGGAGAGATGATCCGGGATGATAAAGAGATGTTTTCCCATACTAATATTTCACTAGCTCAACCAAAAGATTGCATACTAGGGCATTTAAACACAAATTTGAAACTAAACAGGCTTGTATGTGAAGGACATCAGAGTGATGTCTGGAAAAGATAAGGACAAAGGTGAAATCTTATTAAAAGCAAACCAATGATATGCCTTCAAAATGGTCATCCCCCTTTGAGAAAATAAATCATATTAAAATGTATTTAAATGAGTGTCAATGCACTTCTAAGTATTTCTTGCTTGAATTGTCCACAGTTTTACAAAAGGAAACGCAAAGGACAGTTAAGATAGATAGTAAATATTCAATGAAAGATTCATTAAATGACAAAAAGTGTGTTTGTGTTTTGAGACCCTTGTCTCACAAGGCACATGTTTGTGAGTTATCTTCAAGTTGTTGACTTTAAAAATTGCAAGAGAAAGGAGAAAAAGATGAAAGGGCTTGGAGTATGTGTGCAAATGTCGACCCATTGGCAGAGCCGTGTCACCACGTCACAAAGTTCAGCTGAGGCCTGGCCTGAAGAAGAGGATATTGCATAACAAACACACAAATCCATTTTTTTCACTGTGTGGAAGATTAACAGCAGAACTGTCCATGAGAGAAAACAGAAAACAAAAACAATGTTTGATTGTTCTAATTGTACTCAAACTAATTTGAACTGATGTATTGAGTTTGTGATTGAATACTGAATTATTGGACCTTTGCCCCTTTCAGGTGATCGAGTCTCTGGGCATCATGATCTACAAGGCTCTTGACTATGGCCTGAAGGAGAATGAGGAGCGAGAGCTTAGTCCTCCTCTGGAGCAACTCATTGATCTCATGACTAACATGGCGGAGGCTGAGAGGGACACTTGCTCTGATGAAGGTTATGAGGCTACAGAGGAGGAGGAGGAGGCAGAGGATGACCCTGACAACATTTCTGGAGTTCATGGCTACAGAGATATCCTCAAAGTAGGTTGGAAATTGATGCTTCATTTACTGTTTGGCTCATTATAGCTAGTGCACATATACAAGTACCAACTATAAACATGGTCTATATTTAATAAGGGTTAGAATGTTTTCAGAATGGAGACCTATGCTCAAGCAGTTATAAATCTGTGCTCAAAAAAGTCTATTTTTATTTTTTTTCTCCTAAAAGACTAAACTCTCATTGCCTTTATGGGCTAAAACTGATTTTCACCTCAAATAAATCCCAACGTTAAATGAATAGATACTATAGTTTTTTTATACTAATATCTGAATGGTAGCAAATGTCTTCTGACACAAAAAAATATCTCATGGACATGTTAAAGTGATTTAAATATTTATATTTTGTGGAACTGGAATCAAAGAATGAAGAGGAATTTCAAGGAATCATAAAAATATTTGTCTCTCACTATTGCTTGAAAGCCTCATATACATTAATTTTTATGTTGTTTCATCATCAAAACCTTTAGTCTAGTCCTGAAAGGGATTAATGGCTCCAAACTTTATGAATAAAGAGACCATGGTGACAATGTATAATTTGATTAACTAAAAAAGTGAATTAGCCAGTGCCTATTTTATATTGTCCAACACTTTTAGAAAACCTTAAAGTAGCAATTAGCCTAAATTCAGCGTATTTCCTGATAGATTGTGATACAGAAGTGTAAGATTATATTATATGGTACTCTTTAAGAGATTTGAACCACATTGCTACCTGGCTGCAATGCTGATTTTCCCCAGTACTGTGCCTCTATTGTCCATCCAAGCAGAGAGTCACTGTGTCAGTCCTCACATGGTCTCACCCTGTTCACATAATGTCCGCCAGCCCATACTCAAACACACAACAATACTTGACAAGAAAATGTAATAGAGCAACATGGCTGTCTGTCTGGCCCCGTGGCCAGCGAGCTGTCAGTTTGAATTATTGTATGTGTATATCTTTCCCAAATACAATATAGTGTCCTCATTTTCCCTTTTGTCCTACTGCAACTTTCACCCCAGATTACACTATGAACTCCTTTGAACGTGGAGCTATTTAAGTTATTTGAACCATTTACATTCATTTGTTAGAATAGTAAAGTGAACAAAACACACCATGATAGATACATGCCGGTTAAAGTTCGTAAAGAGACATTCTTGTATGGCGTTTGTTTTTTTTGTGAGATTTTTGCAGAGTGGACACAGATGCCAAGAGCATGCTGGGAAGTAAGAAAAAATACCCCCTGTTCCTCTGAGAGAGAAAGCAGCTCATGTTTAGTCATCACGGTTAGTGTGTATTTCCAAGCTGGGGAAGGCTGAGTTTCATTTGTGAGTTTCGGTCCGAATCAAATAAGTTTACAAATGTTCCCTTAAGACAAGTTGAGCCAGCTCATCAAAATCAATTCTGAGTCCTCTGTCTTTAGCTATACTTTAGCTATACCAAGACGTAATTTATGATTCTGTGGTATACAATAATTCATTCAATTTTATTAAAATAAAATAAAATAAAATAAAATGAAAAAAAGGAAAATAAAGAAAAAAAGAAACTGATAAATTTAGTTTAAAAAAAAAATCATTTGAAAAAAAACATTCCATCCATTGATGTCACTC